GCCCCAGCAGCTGTGTGTGTGAAGGGGGAAACTTCAGGCATCTGTGGGTGGACATTAAGGAGAAGAGAGGGTCACAGACAGACATGCTGACTTACCAAGGCCCTGGGACCCCCCCACCATGCCCAAAGGCCCCCGACAGCCACCCTGGCCCCTCCTCAGCCCCCACCTCTATGGATGCATGAATGGATCACTAGGACAAGTCAAACAGAAGACAAGGTCACTTAAATAAGACAAATATTTAGGTAGTACCCCTTGTGCACGGAGCTGAGGGAAACCTGCCCTCCCAGGGGGAAGCACCCTCAGGGTGCCCTGAGGAGACAGAGAAGACACAGACGAGCAACTTCACTGGCAGTGAGGCCTGGGCACAGGAATCCCAGTCCAGCAGGGGAGGCAGTCAGGCCCCCCGGGAGGTGGCATTCAGGCCTCAGGGAGCTAGAACCAGCCCCTGGGCAGCACCTGTCCCAGGTGACGCACACACTGTACTCACACAGAACCGCTCAGCACTGCCCAGGCCCCACTCCCGATCTCTCCTAGATCTCTCTTAGCGGGCACCAACTCGCCAGCTGTCCCTCAGACCCGCCCCCTTCTGGCTTCCCTATTTCTGAACGTGCCATCACATTCTCCCCAGTCTCTGGGCTAGAAATCTCAAAGTTCTCTCCACACTTCCTGCTCCCTCATCTGCTGATCCCAATCTGTCGGTGCTTCTGCTGTTGCCTGGAAATGTCACTCAAGAGCACCCCCTTCTGTCATTACCCCCCAGGCCCTCAAGTGCACTGTGTCCCTCCACTGCTCCCCAATACGGGCAGGTGGGTTGACACCTCATCCCTTTGGTCCCCCTGAGCGCAGCTGGCCCCACCCAGCCCCTGCCCACCCTCCCTCCCACTGACAGGACCCCTTCTTCACATCCCTGCACACCACTCTGCCGGTGCAGGCCCTGCCTCCCAGTCACTGGTCACTAAGTCCAGTCCTGAGTGTTGGCCCGCTTTGCTGGGGCCAGGGCAGCGTCACACACAGCTCATGACGAGCTGCGGGTGCACTCTCTGTGCCCCCCCATGTCACCACCTTCTGAAGGAGAGCCCTTCCCCACCATGTTGACAGCTATGCATCCCTGCTGGGTCCCCTAAAATGAGTGACATGTTGTAGGCCCATGTCTAGGACCGGGAACCCAGATTCTGGAGCACTCGCTGGTCCATGACGGGGTGGGAGTGTGATACACTGCCCCTCTCGCCTCTATCGACCCCTTCCTCATCTGTAAAGGCAAAGGGTTCATACCAACTCACAGGGTGGCAGCAGTGATTGAGCAAAAGATGCCCTGTGTGCAGTCGATATGATGCTGAATTGATCCCCACCTTTCTTCCATCATTTACCTCACCTGGTGGCATATAATTTTTTGGCATACTGGATTTGCTAAAAAGGCAGATTCTATTTTATGTACCCAAATGTTATAACCAAGTAGCAGCTATTTCCTATGTTCCCACCGTGAGCAGAGGCCAATTTATAGATGGAGAGCAGCAGCACTTGTGAAAAGGCAGCAGACAGAAGTCTTGCTCCTCAAGGGGCTTGCCATCTAGGTGCGGGACAGACAGGGACAGGCACTCATCAACAGCAAACTGAAGCCACATGATGGGGGAGCCTACGGGGAGCCCCACCTCCACCCCAGGGGGCTCTCTGGGCACCCAATGGGCAGCCGTGAGGGGCATGCTGCAGGGACACCCTGAGAGCACAGCCATCCCGCTTATAACCAGCCTGAAACACCCTCTCGGGCTTGTGAGGTCAACCCCACACTGCAGCTGAGGCAAGTGGGGCTCAGAGAGGTTAAGTGATTTGTTCAGAATCACTCAGGGAGTGACATCCCAAGGGCACCAGAGTCTGCCTGACACTTAATTCTACAGTGGCCACCTCTCACTTGGTGGGAGGGCTGAGCTGGGAAGGGAAGGCCCAGGCTGCCCCTGGAAGGGTGGGGAGACACTGGGTGGGGAGACACTGGGTGGGGAGGGGGTAAGTGCCAGGGGTGAGTCTGGAGGCATGACGCCCCAGGGGTCCAAGCTGCCCCATCAGCCTGGGAGGTCTTTGAGGACTCCTGAGACTGGGTCACAAGTTGCAAACACTTTCCTCTGCAGGAAGGCAGGTGTGGCCACAGGTGCCTGGAAACAGCCTGCGGATCCCTCTCCTCAGTCCCAATAACCCAGGAGGAGGCCTAGGCCAGTGGGGTCAATGGCAGCGAGAAGGCAAGGCGTAAGAGACCATCTGCATCTGGGTGGGGGTGCAGGACACTTGGGTGCTGGGGCAGCTGGCACCAACACTGACTCCGAGAGAATGCAGAACCAAGAATTAGCCAGGCCACTGGTAGGGTGGGGAGCCCCAGGCTCAGGCCCACATGGCCGCTGCAAAAGCACTGAGCTGAGCCTGGAGGGAAGATGAGCTGAAACCTGGAACAGCCGAAGGCTTCACATGCAACAGGTAGCAGTGTGAGGGAGTCCAGGCACCTGGAGTGCCTGCAGAGCCCCAGTTTCTGGGGTTTCACAACAGCTCTCTCCCTGGCAGCGGTGGAGCAAACGCTTGAGGGCTGTAGTAGAGAGCAAGTGATGTAATTTTTCTAAAGGCATTTGGAGAACTGCGGAGCTCACTAGGCACACGAGTACCATGCAGAAGTCCGTCTTCCCACATGCCCTCTGCTGCTGCCCACCCCCTCCGGCCACACCCCAGGCCCAGGCCTCCCACTGCACCTCTCCATGCCTGAGCAGCTCCTCCCCCTAAACCCGGCACCTTCCCAGTTCTTCCCTCCAGTCTCAATCTGTCAGACTGAGACCCACATGGCGGCGCCAGGGCCCACTCTGCAGGACCCCCTATGTCTCATCAGCTGGGATCTTCTCACTAGAGCCTCCTTTTCTCTCCCACTTTGAAAAGTTCCCTCTCCATCCCCAGGGAAACCACGCTGGACAGTCAGACCAAGAAACAGATCTAGTCTCCAGAAGAATTCTGGGTGCTAAGGAAAACACCAGGCATTGATGGAGCCACCAGGCTGGGGGAATGGTAAACACAGAGGACTGAAATCTCCTCTCCACAGAGTGTCCACTGGGAATATCTCTGCCCCATCAGTCACTCCAGAGAGTTGGAGCTCAGGGACCAGCCTGGCCTCTGGTGTTAGGGAGCAGCTCCAGAGGAGGACTGAGGGACAGAGTTGGAGAGGCCGGCAGAAGGCCGATGGCAAGCCCGGGCCACGGCTCCCATGGAAGGCTCATGCCCCATGAAATGAACAAAATAAGGAAAATTAACAAAGCCAGATATTGTAATGTGTGCATATGAGATTAACTCTCCAAAGGGTCATGACCTTGAGAAACACATCCAGCCAGTGAGAAAAATAATAAACCTGATTAATGATGAGGCATGAGCTGCAAATATAAGCAGCCTGCTGGTGCCCAGTGGAGCTCCGGGGCTTCCTTCCCAGCGGGACCGAGCCGGCTGACCTCTCCAGGGCTCCTGTGCCCCTCACAGGAGCACAGACTGTTGGGAAGGGGAGCAGGTCCAGGTTTCTCTCAGATGCCCGCTGCCAACCCAGACGGCCTCTATCCCAGGTTATACCACGCCAGCTGCTTGCAGGTGCTCCTAGAAGTGTCACTGTTGCCCAGGTGACCCAGGGACACCAAAATGAAGGTAGATCTCTTTGTTCCTGGCAGGGCTCAGTGCTCTGGACCAGTCCTGGTCTGGTCTTGACAGATGTCCACTGCCTGGCACAAGGGTCCAACTGAGCCCAGAGCTCCCCTCCTCTTTTCAGGCAACCGAGGCCCTTGGGAGACATGCCCAGGAGAGCCGCTGGAGGGAGGCAGGGAGGTGGCACCGCGTGGCATCACCAGACAACAGCACCAGGAGGAAGATGGCAGCATAAAGTAGAGATGCCAAGAGCTGGGCAGCCAAAGGTCCAGCGGGCAGAAGCAGGCTGCACTGCCCCCACCGTGCCAAGCAGGCAGGCCAGAGGGCCCGCCCAGCCCCAATCTCTGCCACCCCCACCCCAGAGGCCCTGGGCAACTAGGTCTGGCCCCAACTCCCCTCTCACTTTCTGCAGCTCGAGGGAGCCAGGAAAAGAGACACAGGTGCTTCCCAGTGCCATGAAGCCCCTGTCCCAGCGTCACGGGCTGGCCGGCCACCCCGGCCAGGTCTGAGGAGCTCACAGCTCCGCCGTCCTCACTGGAGAGAATCTCAATCAGCTCCCCTCCCCCTCTTGTGCCAGCCCCCTCCCCCACCACCCGCCCAATGCAGGTCTCCAGAGTTTCTCCCTCACTTCCCACTCGGATGAACTAGGGTGGGATGGTGAGAGCCCCACTAGTCCAGGGAAAGAGGGTCATTTCTGGCAGGACGCTGGTTTCCCCAGAGCGAGACGGCGCGGAGGGTGGGGGGTGTGGTGGTGGCCGGAGTCCAGGGCAGGGGCCAGGGGCAGAGGAGGCAGACGGCAGGGGGGTGGGGGAGCTTTGTGGGCTCCGGGGCTGAGCTGGGATGGGGACCGTGGCCAGGGAAGCGGCGGTCGGAGGAGCGGAGGGTGGCGAGGAGCAGGGGAGAGGCGCCAGGGCTGGGAAGGGGCCGTCATCCCTGCAGGGGGCAGAGGCAGGGCTGGGAGTTGTACGGAGGCAGGGGAAGACCCGAGCGAGAGGACCGCGAGCCCCGGGGAGGGATGCGCAGGGGGAGATGGGGCTGGAGCCTGGGGGAACTACGGAAGCAGCGCAAGGGGGTTCCGAGCCCGTCGCGAGAGCAGGCGCAGGGATCGGGGCGCAGGAGACCGCGGGCTGAAGGCGCGAGAGGGGAGGAAGGGCGCGGGGAGGGGCGGGGGCGGGGGGCAGGGGGTGCGGGGCAGCGGCCCGGAGGGAAGGAGCGGCGGAGACGTCAGAAGTCGGGGGTACAGGAACGGCCGGGGGCGCGCACGCGTGGCCCCGCGCGATGGGACGCGGGGGGCGCAGGGGACAGCCCAAGGTGCGGGCTGGGGGCGCCGCGCCGGGCCCTGCCCTTACCTGGGCGTCTCCGCACTCCGGGGGCTGAGTCGCGGCCGGGCGCTGCTCCGCCGGCGGCCGGGCCGTTGTTTGCCGTTTTTTTCTTCTTCCGCAGCAGCCGCGGCGGCTCCAGCGCGATCCGCCAGCCGCTGAGGCAG